CTCTGGAATGGCTTCATCTAGCTTTGCATTAAAAAGAACAATGCTGCGGCAGCTGAAGGGACAGCCAGGCACCTGAGCCTCCCCATCACTCAGCCAGCACAGGAATGTGGTGACAACTCCCAACCTCACTCTTTCATCCCGACGCACAGCTTTTCAAAACTAGCTTGGGCTGTCTATGAGTGTGTACTCACATTTGTTAATTGCGGCCTCAGCTTTAATGAGATTCTTTTAATTCCCCCAATCTCGTTTGCACGCTACGGCCTTATCTGGGGACCCAAGTTTTCCACTCTGGCTACACGTCCTGTGAACAATCCCCTCTCCAGAGTCTGAAAAGAGAGTGAGCGCCCCATTTCTGCTGAATGCACTTCTCAGTTCATCCAAGGCTGGCGGGCTTTTGATGGCCACAATGCAAGTTACGCCCAAAGAGTGTCTCTTTGGTCAGATTGACAACGCTTGGCTTCACGTTTGCAAGTTAAACGGGCAGAAACCCGGCCGAAACTCCCACGCCAGACGCCGGGGACATTTCCCTCCGCCCTGCTCAGAGCAGAACTGGGGAATGGGTCTGGGCAGGGGGAGGAAAGAAGGGAGGGGTGGTTGTGTGGAGGGGTGGGGGAGAAGAGAGTCCTGATTCTCAGCAGCCCTCTAGAAGAAAGGGAGGGGGACCATTTTCTCTGGCATTTCTTTATTTTTATTTTACTTTTTTCCATTTTGCTTTGTTGGCAGCTTTACCCAAACAAAAAATAAAATGAGACTCTTTTCTCCTTGTCTTCACCTAGGTAGCTGCTTTCCTCCAGCCCCTGAAAATGTGACTCCTTCTTCATAAAATCAAAATTTATGATTATTCAAATGTTGGGGACTGTGAAAAGAGAGGAAGAAAGAGAGAAAATTAATATTGCAGCTGTTCTTCTGATTAATGAGAGATAATTGCTCATGAAAAGTCACCCCTGTGGCATTTTGTTGTCTCCTGGATCTTTGTTCTTTTCCACTATTATTGAGGACTTTCTTGAAGACTAAGCGGTTCTTTTCAATTTTGGGGTATTCAGAAAGGGTTGCCTGGTTACAGAGAATGGGGAAATCTCGGGCTATATCGGGTAAGATGTGCCACAGACAGCAATATCACAATGCCACTTGGAGAAAAGGATGGATACAAGTTAACGATGCGCTTTCAATAAAACATTCATAGACTTGTTCACGCTTTGATAATGACCTCATTAAAGGGAGCTGGGGGCAAGTAAGTCCTGTCTCCTGTTTGTGTTCGGCTAACAAAACCGAGCTTTGAGATCATTCATCGCTTTGGAAACTAATATGAAATCAATGTAAGAGGAGCAAATAAATCCGAGGCGGCCCTGCCAACTCCTGGCTGTCCCGCCCTGCTTGCGGCCTCCGTTTGGAGCTGGAGAACCGTGTGGGCAAACGCCGAAACTGAGCAAAAAAAGGACTAGGGATAGAAGGGGGGGGGATACTTTTGGGGATGCAGAGGGAGGGACAAAGTAGGAGTTACAGCTTGAAAAAAAAAATCCCAAAACAACTAAGAACATCAACAGGTCAGAACTCTGGGGTCTGTAGAATAAGAAACACTAAGTCCCCACCCTTTACTTTCCCTGACTTTGTCCACAAAAGGAAACAAGAGAGAGAAGTAAGAAGGGAATGTGGGGTTCAGGTAGGTGCCATCCCACAGCGGGGAGGAAGTACTGGAAGACCTTCTGAAAGCTAGAACTAAGAATTCAAATCTCAAGGCTGAGCTAGAAGAAAACTGCTTACCCAGGTTCAAGTTGGAGAGTCCAGAGACAAGAAGGCAGTGCCTCTGCTGTTCTTTTTAGAAGTGCTTTGGTTTTTTTATAAGTTGAAGGTAAGGGTGGGGTGCCCTGGCCAGAAGAAGGTGGAGAGAACCATTTGGTTACCCTCACATTTGTGACACTGTCTTGCACTCAAGGAAGACAAAGCCATCCTCTATCATCCTGAGCAAGAGGGAGGGAATCAAAGGATTTCCCCCACCCCTTAAAAGAACTAATTTTCTCCTTGAATTATGAAAGTAACGGCTTAGGTAACAGCCTGTACTCTGTACCCGACTGCTTAATACCAAATAAATCCTTCCACGTGGCTCCCCGAGTCGTGGCAATTAGAGCTCATTATAGGCTCATAAGAGCTCTCATTTCGGGGATTACTTAATGGACGATGAAATTTTATCGGACAGAATCACTGAGAAATAAAATTGTGCGGCAGGGCAGGCATTGTGGGCGCACGCCAACAGTCTGTCTGCTCCCTCACGGGAGAAGGCGGCTGAGCTTGGGGTCCCCTTCTGTACTGAGCATGTTTGGGGTGTTGCTGCCCTGGGGAACAGTCAAACTGGGCAGAGCTAGTGGCATGGTGTGCAGGGCCATACAGAGTAGGCTTCCTTGGTGGGGGGGTGGGTAGGCAGGTGGGGCTAGCTTCTAAAAATGGGGGCTGGATTCAAGGAAGGAGGAGGAAGAAAGGGAGACATGGAGATTCAAAGAGTACTAGAGAAAAAGGACAAATGCTACTTGTGGGACATGACCCTAAAATACTTGCTCTTCCTGGACTCAAGCAATTAATCAAGTACCCTAATGGGCAAGTTTCATAGACATAGTGCTGCTTTTAGGCCTCAGCCTGGCTCAAAGCCGCTGCTCCCCTTGCAGCCTTAAGCAACCCCATGGGCCCCTTGCCTTTCTCAAAATTCCTTGGCACTAGAAACCGAATGTTTCCATAGTCAGACATAAATTGAATGAGACGCTCAAGCCTCCCGCATGATTAAGATTCTCTAAAATAAAATGGTCTGCACATAAACATGATTTCTAGCACATTAGTATAGGAGTTCTTTCTGTGAGCACACCCAAAACTTCTGGGAACATTGTAACCCAAACCATCAGCCCAAAAAAGATTGTGGATAAACTTCTACCTAATCTAGAGGAGGGAAAAAGAGAGAAAACTATTACTCTCAAAGGGGGTATATACATATCATGAGGGTACTTCAAAAAATCATAGAAAAATAGAATTAAACGATAATATGAATCTTTCCATGAACTTTTTAAAATACACACACACACAGAGAAAGTGACTGGGGGAAATCGCATCACCTATTTGGACAATGTAGGCCTGTAAAAAATACCGTGCCATTAAGCCTCTCTCGATCATTGAGCTCCATGTCTTTTTCCTGGGGCTGGAATAATTTTGGGACTGCCTGAATTCTCCTGTCATGAGTGAGGGTGGGATGGGCCAGGCGGGCTGGGGTGAGGCTGAGTGTCTGCAAAGGCTGCATGGGCAAACCTTGTGGTACAAAAGTAGTTACAGCTGAGCTGCCCCATGTTAAGCCCTGAGACTCCTTAATAGTTGTCACAAGATGTTGGATTAGCACATTTCTGGAATAGCTGTCTGTTTACACTCCGGAGACCCACCGTCCACTAACCGCTTTCTAATTGAATTCTAATCACATTCAAATAGCTCAATAACCAGACTCAGCTGCAATTCATAAAACTTTAATTGCCATCCATAAATCCTGGGCTCCCCAGAGCGGGGCATCCCTACAACCCAATTACACTTCTCTAGCAGGCAAGAGAGATGGTCACAGAGCTGGAAAAGGGGAAGAAAGAGAGACTGAAGACCAAGTGACAGAGCCATGCTTCCTGCTGGTGCTCTCCTGACTTGGGCACTTCATCTTCTCAGGTGGAGGGAGTCCTGTTTCCAAGTTTCTTAGCACTGACATGAACTCAGGCCTGAAGTTAGCTGTTCTGGGAGAAAGACTGGACTTGTAAGCTGTTGCTCAGCCTCCCTTCTCTAGCCTGCTTTTCTGCAGGAAAGGAGGAGGGAGAGCTGTCACCTTTGCACCTTCCTCAAAAATCAGCAACCCCAGCCTTGGCTGCACTCTCTTTCACATGGCTAGGGGTACACAAGTCTTCCACAGACCCACATCCCCCATAGACATTTCATTTACCAAGTCACCTCTCCCAATAGAATCAGGATTACTCAGGTGGCTCAATCCTCCTCATCTTTTTAAGGCTTGGGGAAGCG